GTTTCGTCAGAGCCGACGGTCAAAAAGTACAAATTGAAATTCACCCAGTCTAAAACGATACTGGAAACCGACACGCTGCCGAGTGGTATGGTAACGACAGGCTTCACGTCGCCGCCGTCGATACTGCGTCGAAGAACTCCGCGATTGTCGCCAGCAGCGTCTGCGAAAAAGATGTTTCGCGTGCGAATTTCAGCCGCTAGACTAGTCAGTTTGTTTCCTAAATTATACTGCAATATAATGACGGCCACATGCAAAATGATGCTGTGAGAGCATACCCGAAATTGGTTGCATAGCCACTATTCCATTGGAACTGAACGTGACGCCTTGAATTGCGTGGTCGGTGTTGTATATCAAGAACGAGTCGATTTTTTTACATCGTTGGTTTGTTGAGTCCATCTGATAGCCGGCGGCGCAAACACATTTGCGGAAACCATTCTCTCTTGGTATACAGAAATGTTCGCAGTCACCATTCTTTATTTGGCACGAATGCTGCATAGCTAAAGATAAAAATATAAATGACAAAGAATCTCATATTCTCATCACAAGCAGTAGAGCAAATTATATTATTATGACGAAAACAATCCATAAGAATGTTTTAAAGGAGCATAAATGGGATCTAACAACTCTAGACCTTTTCAAAATTTAATTTAAACGAGCAGTTCCTCGTCAGAGCTGATCAGATGTTAAGCTATTCTCTATTCCAGGAATATACAATTTTCCAACATAAATGCGGTCATAGGCATTGCGTGTAATTTGAGAAACCATGGTTATGCTGTTCATGTTGAGGCGATGATAAAACTTTTGTTATATGCTTTCGTTTTGCTCTTGCACAAAAATGGACTACGCGTAATTGGCTACCAACCCCAGAAGAAGTAAATTTCGTGTTGCATGCTGGAAAGTTTCTTCCTTGTCTAGTGAAGGTAAATTGGACGATGCTGCTCTACGGCCCGTCGGTACAAATTTGACATAATGACGGGCCCGGAAGCTCGCCTGCCGAATGTCATTTTGCTGGTCAGGCAAACAGTAGTTTACTCTGAGTAGGTGTGGATATCTGTTGTTTATTAGGGTAGGCAGTGTGGTCATTACGGTGGAACAGGGGTCAGAGGGAATCCTGACCTATCGCGTAAATGTAAAATTTGCAACGCTTAATGTCACTGTCACTTATATCCCAACAAACATGACGAGTCAAAGCGAAAATACGCTGGCTATAACCGCTTTTAATCGAATGTTATCGCTTCGTCGAATCATGACATCACAATTGTTAGAGGCGACGGTGGGCGCCAAGTATAGCACATGGCCATTTGCACTCGACCGCCACTGCACTGACAGAGT